ATAAAGTAGATAACATAACAAATATAGTATATAGGCTGAGATTCAACGGAACATGTGTTATTTTTACACATGACCTAAGAAATTTTCAATTTTGCATTGCAAAAGAGATATGCGAATTCTTAAGATAACTATCAGAAAGAAAGAAGTTCCATATAAAAAGAATGTATCAAATGTTCATGCATTATGTATATGTATATATATTAACGCTTTGGCAAGGAATATCAATCTAAATTATCCCACAGTATACAATCGATATACTCTAAAATAAGCTATTTCCGTTGTAACGTCGTTCCTCGATCTTTTCATAACTCTCAGACGAACTGCAAGTATAAGCGAGTTGATCAATCACTGGAATTTCTTCAAATGGGAAGCGAACGAAACCAACGATAGTTCCCACGTACCCGCGAACAATCACTCTCTTCATTTCCACGGTCCGACCCGGCAGAAAAAACGAAGTTACTTCCCAACAACGACGAATACGAAGTTGGCGAATAAAAAACGAAAGACCTGGCAGAAATTTCTCTCCTTTCGAAGAGGTCATTTCGCGAGAGAACGCGATTCGCGTGTACATTTCCCTACGAACGAATCTCGCGACAGCCCGAACGAATTTAAAGCTCTCGAAACGAAGCGAGAGGGATCGACGAATAAGCAAGGGTAGAACAGACGGAGAGAGAGAGAGAGAAAGACGGATGCTCGTCGAGTATTCGACGAGGAAAGGGAGAGAGCGAGCGGTGTGAAAAGCGGTGGAACAAGGAGGAAACAGGACGACGAAGAAGGACGCAGATAAGGGAGCACGCGGCGAAGGAGAAGAAAAGGCTCGCTTTTCAGGCTGTTCAATAGATTTCGATCTGAGCGACTTTTTTTCTGGGCTCGAAACGAAGCGAACAATGGGCCAGACGGAAACCATGGCCAAGCTTGAAGGCTTCCCGTGTGTACGCATCCACATATGCACGCGTGTATGCGCATAAAGGGACAGGGCGATCGTGTGCGTGTACATCTGGATCGACCGGATCCTGAACGAGAACGGAAGTTTAATGACTTCGAGTGTCGGAGTGAAAATCAGGATCAGCTGGAGGCTCGCGTTCCCCGTGCTTTGTCGCTCGATGACGTAAAAAGAAATACACACAGAAATACACCCTTTGTCCCTTGAATGGTTACGAAAATTCGTCCCGGGGCTGAACGAAACGAGACGATAAAGCAAAAATGTTCGATACTTCAAATTCTTACTTTTCGCGGTAATTTATACCACGAAGTAATTAATTGGTGATGTTTATTAATTTGTTAGACTCTGACGACGATTTTGCGCGTGATAATTAGGACAGATATTTACTATAAACTATTACTAATTCTCTTTACTGTCCATTGCTCTCGTCTGGTCTGAGCCCACGAGAGAGAAAGTCAGTCGACATCGATTACGTATAGCAGTTGGGAGTCGAAGGTCCCCCAGCTGTTCTTCCGTAGAGAACTACGATGGACCAACGCCTCCTTCAAAAGGCCTCTTGCAAGATGATGTTTATCCATTGAATCTCGCCGAAATTGATTGTTTCCTTTCGACTGTTCTACAAAAAAAAAAAAAAGTCGAAGCGTTCGATCTAGAAAAAGAAACGGAATAAGAGCGAAAAAAAAAAAAAAGAAAAAGAACATGAAAAATGGAAATATAAGTATTATTCCATAGTTGTAACAAAGGATATACAATATAGATTTTACCTACATCTTATTATTGACACAATAGATTTCGAAATAATACATCGAAACGTACAAGTTAATAAAATAATAAATTTAAAATATAGCTTGTAAATAAACCCACTGTCATTTGGCTACCTCTGTTAAAGGTAAGAATTAACCTAACTTTTACGATTACAAACAATTTGTTTTACATTTAGAGTTTCTCGAGAAACTTCGAAATGCTTTCCCGTCAATATCTATTTTATCAACGACCGACAATATGGTCAACATGGCCATCCTCGCTTGAAAGATCGATAATAAGACATGGTGTCTGTGATGGTATTTCTATTTATGATATGAGAGTGCGGTTCTACATAACTAGAGATACAATCTGCGATAGAATATTGTCATCCAATTTTAGTCTGTAAACTACGCGGAAAAATCACGCACGGACACAATGAAGAGTCTTAAAATTGCATTACAAAGGAGAACTAAATTCATCGTAAATTCGTGATTTTTGTATGGTATCACAATCCTTTGAATTCAACAATGATCATTGATTTTTCTGTAACTATCTGTGTAGATCATTCACGAGTTTTCTTCAAACTAATTTTATAATTTCGGTTATTTCTTTACAATGGGTGATCAATAATGGAAGAGTGATATGCGAGTTTATACGAATTAAAAATTAAAATAAACTTAGTATAGAAAATCTCGTACGAAGACGTGTCAGTTCGAAAAATTAACAAACCGATGCGACGTTAAAATGATATAACACGTAAGTCAGGTGTGATTTACAAGATTCAATTTTCTAATCGATGTTTGGCGCGTGTCGCATCGCGGAGGGGCAACAAAATCTAATCTCGCGGAATTCGATCGGGTTAGAAGTGCGTGACACCTTGGCCGGCAACTTCGTTCAAATTCCAGCGGGAGATTTCACCAACAGGAAACAAAACGACCAGCGAATCTTTTTGTTTCGGATTACAAGTCCTCCGGCTAGTTTAACCGCGAACGTGCATATTCTATCAACCGCAACCGGCGTTTAAGCAGGGATTAAATTTTATCGGGAACCAGCTACGGCCACGTGAAATGAATAGAGTTTAATACGTTCGATTGTTCTCGCCTTGTTATCTGGTTAGTTGCGTGTACGTTTGCGGATTATGCCACGCGAAAGTGAAACGTTACCACTTCGCTATTTTTCTCTCGATTGTCCCGCGAAATATGCGTTTAATTTGCACCAAGACGTATCAGAGTACATGGGTGGTACATTAATTCCACAATAAAGCTCGATAAAGTGGAACAAACAAGTTTCTACAGATGCGAAACCTATCGTTCCGCAAATATGGAATGTGTAAAATTAACTTTCGCCGATAAACTGCTGAATCTGTCAATTATTACGATAGCAGTATTTTTTCATTGCTTTTTCTATCGTTCCGAATGTAAACTATGTATTAATCTACTAATAACCAGAAATATCTACCAGCTAAAGTCATGAGTTTGATAACACCTAGAATTGCGAAGTTTTGTAATCTATTGTAATATAAATGCACGTAGTGATATTCGCCTGAGAAGAGAGAGTGACGAATATTTCTGATAAGTCGTATTTATGCACAAAAATTTTAGAAGAAATTAAAACTTCTCGCAAGAGTAATAATAAAACTTTTACTGTAAGAGTGATAGCAAAATTTAGGAACATACGCATTTGCTCATACATAAATTCCAGCATAATTTTCGTAAAAGTTTTGCGACAAACCTTGCCATAATATCCTCGAATAAAGGATAAAAGATATTCGTACAAAGATTAAACACTCGTAATATATTCATAATTGTTCTATGAACAATTTCACCTCGACTCAAACATTTTTTATTCTTTAAAAATTTCATCATTTTATTATCGAACTTTTTGTAGCATGATAATCAGTGTCGCATCACTTCGACGGCAACGCTGAAAAAGTCGGATGAGACGAGCATATCCTTGACAATGTATGCTGAATATTCGGGTCACATTCTCGATCAGACTTCCTTCGCACGGTATAACACGCACACGCGAATAACACGTACGCGTCCGAAGAAGAGACCGCGTAAGGCCGATTAGACAGGATCTATAAACGTGTTCAAAGAATATTATAACGATTTAAAATGGGACATGTGCCTGTCTCTACCTACAGTTCTCTCTAGCCTCTCTTGCTTTCCCTTGCCAACCATTTTAGAATAACGGAGAAGGACCCTTCGCAAACAGGGAAACAGCTGTTGAGCGGTGACCGAGAAAAGGACAGAGATCGGGATTCGGAGAATGGCAGAGAAGGCAGATAGAGTGAAAAAAGAGGTTACCACCTGGCTTACCTGGCTTGTGCTTACCTGAAAACCGACGTTGCTATATCTACCTGCCTGGGCATTCTTTTGTGCGGGCCCCAAGGCACGCACCCATTCTCAGACGATAGCGTACGACATCCTACGAAACTACAAGCTACAAAGCTACTGTCGTAACACTGAAAAAGATGTTTCGGGAATATATGAGACAAACTGAATGTTCTTGATATCGTAGTACGTATATGGAGGTGCTCACTCCTGCATCGTCAATGTCACTGACTTTCGCTGATCGTGGCATAGTCGACTCTTTTTTGTCTTATTACGATACGCACGATTTTACGGATCCAAGCACGACCAGTCCATAATTTAAAACCGGCAGTCGAGTTCTCTTTCAAAGAAGATTAAGCGTCACGTGGTAGAGAAATCGTTTCCGTTGATGACAAATTCCGATTCTTCGTATAATGCTCCGCCACGGAGGTATAAAACAGTCGACGTAGGACAAAATATGTCGCGTGCTTGCATGATTTAAGTCGGCTTAATGGACGAGGCTGATATATTAAGAGGGCATATGGTACGGTTGCACGAGTGTTCCTACTTTTTCTCGCACGGAACCACTCGCTCTTCACGGGCCATTTTGTGCGGTCACGTTTTCGGCCTGTGTAAAGCCAGATGCAGTTTCTTTCCCGTCAACATCGTCGAATCCGAGGAATCGCCGAATTCTCGTGGACGACCCACGTCTCAATTTTCTTTTTCTGAGTACACCGAAAATCCAGGCAGATGGCGAGTGACCACGGTAGTCAAACCGTTCATATTATCCACGATACATAAAAAGCGAAAAGCGAAATTGGATTTTATGGCGTAGCAACAGCTGACTTGCTCGAACTATCGAACTCGTAATTTTGAATCGCAGTTTCGAATTTCCTTTTTCATGGAACTACTTCGTAAATTTACCGACGGCTGCCTGTAATTTACCGAGTAACAACACTGTACATGTATTGCAGACGTATAGCACAAAGTCACGTTTCTTTTTCTTTACAAAACGTTTATTATAAAAACCGATATGACATAATTTATAACGAACTTAGGACTAGGTGAACGAATTAAAATACAGCTAATAGAATTGTACAACTTATGTAGGAATTGCTCGTAAAGCATCTTGCAGCTTTTTTCTTGCGAGAGCGACACGATCCTCTTGCCTCTTGATGTCTTCGTCGGCTATCGACACTGCCTGGAACAAAAGAGAATGATTTATTTTACCGATTTCACTTTGACAGCAGCCACGTTAGATGTTTGGTTGACGCCGTCTCTATTGTTTTTGTCGATATACCCTTTCAAACCTCCAGTACATAATTATTTACATTCCGTAATAGGGTGTTGAATCATGTGCTAAAATGTATTTAACACGTAACACGCGTTTGATTTTAATGTAGCACCCTATTTTGTATCTAAATATCTATTCTACCTGTACGAGGGGTTGATCGGGATTAAGAAATACCCCGGGATTCTTCTCTAAAGCTGTCTTCGAACCCGTTTGTCCTGTGACTGGTTGAGAGGAAACGTGCAACGCGGTTGCAACACTTTGAAGCAGCGTCTCTTCCGTAATATACGGACCGACTGGCTTCAAGCTTTTTGGCAAGTCCATTGCATCGAATTCGAATCCATCTGGATCACATGCCCTTAAACCCTCCAAACGTTTCTCCCAAAATAACTGCAAGATCGAAAAAATTGTTTCTGTACAATCAATAACAAGTATTTATGCAAAACGGTAACATTACTGCACATATATGAAATAATAGTACGTACTCAGCACACAAAAAAATAATCTAATCACAGAAATGAGATGTATCTGCTTCATGGCACAAGCAAAATGATAATATACTATTAAACACTGTATTTTTCAAAAAATGAACTGTATGCATTGCACGTTGATTGATAAAAAATGAAGAATACGTAAGATATACATAGGACTTAATATTTTACACGTCTTACACTAAACACATATTTGTTATAAATCAGATGTTTGCTAAATGCTTGCATAACAAAGGACTTTGTAATGATACATGCACTACACAACTGCTTTTGAACTAGTTGATAATTAAGGATGCCTGATTGTAGACACTTTGTATACAACATTATACATTTATCCGACAACATTAATCAGTAATTCCATAAGCACATCGAACAATGTGTTACCTGCTTAGGCTTATCTTGGGAGCCATATTTGCCATCAGTTTTATCGGCTCCTTCCTAAACGAATGATTTAATGATTGAACCATGAGAACTTACGAGAGACATTAAACGCCACAATTAAAATCATACAGTTCTAACGACTCTGTAGTTTTGTTACAATGATAAAACATTTTGGGATATTACTCTCATGTGTGAAGGGAATATGATACATTTATTACCAAAGAATAGCTATATACATCGTGATTTTCTGGTGAATGACATAATGAATGAGAAAAAATAATCTTAAACTTGATAAACATTTCACCTTTGTGTAACAGATATGAAGGTTAGAAAATATTGACAGTACACGTTGTAACACGTTGATCACTGGATGTCTATGTACAGATAAAGAAAAATAAATAACAAGCACTAACCTGTTTTGGTTTTTCCTGATTTCCGTGCTTGATGTCCTTCACTTTACCTTCCTGTGTCTTGTAAATGGTTACTGGTTGTTTAAATATAGATGCAGTTTGCCTTATTGGCGGCACTAGCGACGCGTCGTTTCTGACACCGCGACTGGAAAAAAATATTCACCGTATCATAAATGAGGTTAGGATCGGCTCATGTTATATGTTCCGGCATCAATTGCGATCGATACGTCGCGAATGCGAAACACAAGCGTTTATCAGTTTCTGTAGACCGTGCACGATCAATGTGTAACGTGAAAACAAATTTCCAAAATGGTGAACGCACCTGTAATAATAAACGTCAACTTTTCCAGTCGATGACAATTGATTTTGACTTTTCCTCGTGGCCTCTTCCCTGGTCGGCCAATTCGTTGGCAGCGCTGACGGATACTTCTTTTTCTCCACTGACATGTTCATTTTGCACAAGTGTTCAACATACACTCGCACGTTTCCCAAAATTACTTAAATAATTAGCAAGCGAGCGCACGAGCCACCTCTCGGTAGCCATATTGATGCGTTTCGCTAAATTCCCGTAGGTTAGTATAGTTATCGGTTCGAGTAATTAGCTACGTGGTGGCGGTACTATCCACGCAGTTGTTGAACCTCTATCCCGCAATATTTACTCTGTACGGTATATATCAATTTGCATTCGATTTGTTTTATCTTACTTTTATCAAAATTATTTCACGGATAACGAAAAGGTAAATTATATAAGTACTTAATAGTTACTTTATGTCTTAAGTATAATATTAATAATATTAGCAATACTAACAGTCCAAAACATTTGATTACCGATTGAACACTATGATTGATTAATGGAGTCTGATTTTTAGTTATTTATACAAATAAGTTTAATTCAAACAAGCTTATTGGACAAATTGTAGAATTATTGTAGATATTTGAATGGTAAATTTGATTTATACTTATTG